CCAGCCCCATAACAGAGCAGATAACACAGTAAGTCCACCTCTGAGGGACAACGCTGGCCCAAAGCCTCAGAGAAAGCGGAGCACCTCACCTCCCGTCCCAGGCAGATGCCACTCACCCAGGGGCAGCCACGCCAGGGTCTGAAACAGCACCCCTGCCTCGCTGCTGGCCCAGGGCAAGGCTTCGGAAAGGGAGGACAGCTGGGGTGGTTTTGGTCCTAGCAGACGCTTGTCTTTCCCCCCGAGCTGACAGGTGCTGCTTGTGGCAGTAGGCACAAAGCTACGTGCTCCTTCAGTCAGTCTGATGAGTTTGCTGTGGTGGGGCCAGTGAGGCAACCCCGTACTCACTAGCCTCTGGCTGCTGATAAGAGCCCTTTTCTAATTCACATCTTGAATGTGAAGCTCTCCCAGTGGCCTTCCGTGTGCTCGTGCTTCTCCTGCCAGGTCTGTATCTCATGCTGCAGAAGCATCATGCTGCCTTTTCTTTTCCACGACCCAGAGCAAGTCCTCCCTGGCAGGGGGGGGCCAGGGCCAGGGAGCTGCAGCACACCCAGGGATGCAGGAAGGACCCTGGTAAGGTCAAGTGCTCCAGGTCCATCCCTTCTCCCTGCAATTACACCCGTTCTCTTAACACGTGGTGTGGCAGCCTCCCAATTGTACGGCCAGATGTGGTGACTTACTCCCACCAGATGTGTGCCCATGTCCCTCTGCATATCGTGATCCAGTACAGAGCAGCTTCCACCCAGAGACTAGCAGAAGTCAGAGCTCCATGTTTTTGGTGCCAGGCAGAAGCAGCAAGGATTATTCCCCCTGTTTTTGTCAAAAAGGAAACAGGACCAGAGGTAATCCAATGTACCACAGCCTACACCAGAATTAAAACCTCAGATGCTGGCACTGAGTCCCATGTTTTAAACTATCATCTCCCCATGATGGACAGCAATTCCCAGGACTGCACCCGAACCCCCACGTTAGACAGATGCCAGGCAGCACCAGCCCCAGGGAAGCAGTGAAACACCCCCCTCCCCTTGTCCAGGCTCAGCCACACAGAAAGCAGGAACCTATGGCTTGGACAAATTGATCCCTGCCGCTGATGCTAAACAAGTGTCATGGACACAGGCACACAGAGCAGCACAAGAGAAAGTTGGTTATTACAAGAACTAGCTCTTCATTTAATTTCACTGGAGACTTTGCTGCCTGCTTGATGGAAAGAACTGTGAAAAAACACGCGTGGCAACCCCGCAGAGCCTCAGCGAGGAGCCTGGGTCTCCAGCTGCTCTTACCTGCAGGGATCCCACCTATCCTCCCTCTTCACAGCTGGATAAGTGATGGAGGTCAGGAGGGTCAGAGCACACTTACCAAGTTGGGCCCAGGTGGGGAGACAGGGCCCTGGCTTGGCTTAAGGCTCAGAGCAGCTCCTTCTCTCCAGGTGACTGAATGTTGAGGCAGCTCAGCAAGGGCTGACTGGAGGAAATATAAGTGTTTAGGGGACAGATGCTATTACCTCAGGAACAGAAACGAGTTCCCAAAGGAGAGAGCAGAAAGGAGATGGAAAGACATGGAGGTCCTCCTGAAGAGCTGTGGGCTACGCAAAGTCCTATGCCCATGGGCACAGGGTTGCTGCCCAGGAGCCTGCTGACAGCAAAGGGTGCGTGCCACAGCAAGACTAATTTGGTAAGAAAGGATCTTGATTCAGAGCCTCATGGAAGGGGAATGTCTTAAAGACTTGACAGGAGAGATTGCAGGAGATGGTGGAAGAGAAGGATGGACACAATTGTGAGGGATGGCTTGGGAGCAGAAAAGGGACTGAGGATGCTGGAGAGACAGAGGCAAGGAGATGTCTGGCTTGGTGGAGGCTTGAGGACAAAGGCAAGGACCGGTGCTTCGCAGGACGGCAGGCAAGAAAGAGCACTGACAGCCCCCAAGCACTGCTGGAGAAGCAAGAGGAAAAAAAAAGTGAAGACAAGGAAAGAGTCTCAGGGAGCCAGTGGCAGAGTGGAAGTCCCCAGCATCCAAACCACAGCTGGAAGAGATGGCAAACTCATCCAGGGACGGCAGAGACAACGAGGAGTTATGGAGAAACATCCTGTGAGAGCCAGGCAGAGCATGGACCAGGTGCTTCACCGACCCAAGGAGCTAGGAGCTTCCCCAGGGAACAGAGGGCCGCGCACCCCCCAAGAGCAACACATTTTATAGCCTTTGTGGAAAATTCCAGCCCTACTTAATCTCCTGAGGCTCCTGCAAGATTGTGACACAGAGAAAGGGACCAAACAGGAAAGAATTAGAGGAAAAATACCTCTCTTCTGGCAGCCACCATGGCTGTGCCAGGAGTTAGCAGCAGCAGCTGTGGAGAAGCCAGCCCTGCCTCCCCCTCCTCCGGCCGCCTCTATAAACACACAGGGCTTACTCAGAAGATTAGAAGGGAACAGGGCAGAAGACAACAGAGTCTCTTTTGTAGTGAGGAAGGATTACAGCATCAAGTGACCGGCTGCAGCTCCCAAGTGGGTTTCAGGCTCCTTAGCACACCGTGTCTGTCAGGTTCAATCCCCCCATGAGCCAAGGGGGCACGAGGAGGCGGGCCGTGGCATGGGCCACAAAGGACCCAGCAAGGACACGTGCGGGACCAAACCTCCACAGCCTCCAGCGCGGCTCAGGAGCCCGGGACTGTAAGTAGTATCTAGTCCTCCCACGAGCAGATAGATTCCTTCGAAGATCTATCTTCCTGCTTATCCGTGACCTCCTCTCACTCCATCTGTCCAATCTGTCTGCTTGTTCTCCACCTTTGCAATAGCTGCTCATGTCTATTTGTCGTCTTAGCGGTGGGTAACGCACCCGACGCAGGCTTGCTGTTGCAGAATCTTGGTTGCTGTGGGCTCCCAGTCTGTCTGGTGTCAGTCGACCTTCAGGTGTAATGGTTAGTCCGGACAGATCAGGCAGGGGGATGCAGGCAGGGGATGACTCTTCCTCCCCATACCGATGCTGGTGTGCCGGAGTGAGTCACCTCCCACCATGTACCTCAACCCCAAAGGGCAGTTTGAGCGTGCCACCTGCTGAGTGACATCCCGGGGCAGTCCCGCACAGGCTGCCAGGTGGGCAGGGAAGTGCCTTAACCACCCAGGTTTGGAGGAAAAAGCACTGGGAAAAGCCGCATATCCCGTGCTGAAGCAGAACTGCATAGAGGTGGGTGACATCCATTATTTACATGGACAAGAGCTGAAGTTTTCCATGTTTGGTAAAAAGTGAATCTGTATTTGAATTACGCAACGAAGAGTCTCCCCGAGCACTTTCAAGACCCAAAGCATAGAGAAAAACAGCCAGCTTTCTGTAAGCAGCCCCCAACAAATTTATGGGTGTTTGCATACATTTCTTATCTGGATAGTCCATGTGTGTGCAGTCTCTAGGGCAGTTAAAAACCACTCTTCTGAGTCCCGTGCACTGGCCAGAAATACGTATGGCAATGTCACGAATGTACAGGAGGCTCCAGTGAAAGGGGCATATGTGCAGCTGGGGAGCCCTTGGCAGGGCAGGTGCCAGCTCTGCTCCTCTGATATAACCTGTGAGGGGAGGCTCAGGGAGGGTGATGAGAGAGAAACCCAAAGGAGGGGCAGCACCAAGAAGCCAAAGCCAGGACAAAGATGTTATTTGGTTGCAGTAGCCAACAAAACAGACTTTGCTGTTTTTCTTCACCAGCTCACTGGGACCTCCGTTGTCCCCACATAAGCGTAGGTCTTTCATTGAGATGCTCAAATGAGGAGCACGGACACAAACTTACCTGCCTTCAGCTGCTGCTGCAGAGCAGTAAGGTCTGAATTGTCCCTTGAAGTGCTGCTTTGTCTCCATCATTCAGGGAAGAGCCCAAGGCCCCACAACTATTCACATTATTGCCTCTGTTAAATAGCAATGTCTGTGTAACATCCTGATAACATGCTAAGATTTAGAAATACCAATAGTTTCACGTTGGATAATTATTTATAAACCTATTTATAAACCTATTTATTCACCTATCTGCCTAGCATGGATTATACTGGTAGAGTTTTTTTGTTACAAATTCAGGTTTACATGAATGTGAGTCTGATTATGAATTGATGATAAAGAATTATTTATCTAAGGTTAGACTAGAAGAAGTGCAATGGGGATGCTGGATGATTGGGAAGCATTTCACGAGCCTGAATGGCTTTTTTCATCCAGTGTGATTTATTGTGCAACGTATGGGTGAAGGAGAGGGGAGGTGGAGTTGCTGGAATTTGTGCTCTGTGGGCCTGGCCAAGCTCCATCCCTCAGTTCTCTAACAGGGAGGGCTGTTCTGCTTGCAGGACTAGGACCAGCATAGTCCAGATATGGCCTTCAGCCCAAATTTAAAGACAGCTATACTTGTTGGGCAAGTGCTACAAAAACTGTCAAATCTCCAGGGGTACCTTCATCTGGATCAGTACCAGGAAATCTCTCCTTTCTGGGGTTTTTGCTTTCCTGTTTTTTTTTTTCTTGCCAGCAGTATTCCAGGAAGACACTTCCCAACAAGTAGATTTCCAGAAACAACGTATTTGAAATACAGTAAGAAAAAACTGATTGGGGTAAGCCACTTTGGAGTTTGTGACCCTGAGAATTAATCTTAAACAACCCTTTTGTGGAAGGGAGTGGCACGTGGGTACTGTCCTCTGCAACCAACCAGCCCCACTTGAATGCTGGCAATCAAACCCTAGAACCCAAGGGCTCCACCAGAAAGCTATCCACGCTATCATTGTAACCAGCTCATATACAGCTCAAAGACAGGAAAAAGATGGCAAGCTCATCCAGTTAATTGCCTACCATAAATTTCCTCCTGGTTCTCTGTGTCACTGACCTCATCTTACCTGTCTTTTGATCTCAACTCATCGTTTCTTTCTCTCTTCCTTCCTTCCATCTTGCTTGCTTGCTGGGACGCTCGAGGTGTCCCTGTCTCCTCCCTCTGTGCAAGCTTGCTGGCAGCTTCAACATCTGCTCATTTTGTGTCTCCACTAGGACCTGTGATGACAGTGACATACACCAACCGTGTGGCTGACGCCCGCCTAGGCACCTTCTCACAGCTCCTGCTCCAATGGAAAGGAAGTATCTACAAACTTCTCTACTCCGAGTTCCTTATTTTCATCTCTCTCTACTTCACCATCAGTCTTGTCTACAGGTAAGCAGCCTTACACCCCGACACTAACACAGCCCCAACTCTTGGCCTGTCCTGGAGCAACGCAGGATTGGGACAGTGATACTGGTGAAGAGGAGCTGGGCAGCCACTCACCAGCCTCTGTTCACAGGAGGAAAGGAAAAGTCCTTTCTCACTGCTCCAGTATGGTTTAGCAGCTGATAAATCTCCTTTTTCTGTCCTGGGAAGTAGCACAGTTTCTCTTCCCTGGGATGAAGAGTTGCATTTGATGATCACCTACAGAAGAAAAATGTGCAGATCAGTGGAGACCAAGACTGAACTAGTCCTGGAGATGGCCCACAGTGGGGAGCTTTAGGAGCAAGTTTCCCTTGTTACACAGCAGGGAACACCTTGGGTACATTTTTGAGAGCAGACATCACCTCTGGGACCACAGATCTGTAATATGGCAACTGTGCTCTGTGGCTGGTCTGGTTTTGGAGAGACAGGGAGCTCCCCTCGCTGGTTCAATCACAGACGGGGCACAGAGGCAGGGAAGCAGCTCTAAGAAAGGGGCAGGAACTCACGTAAGAGCAGAGCTTGGACTGACATTTTGCAGATATTAAGTGAACTGTGGTGCACATCCAAGCTCTGTGTCAAACCCGTGATACCACATCACACTCTCCCGAGTCAGAAAAACAGGGGTGGTCCCTGACATCAGACTGCATCGCTTAGCACACGCTCTCTGTCAGTGACCGCTTCTGGCTCCTTGACTGGTCTTTTGGGGAGGTGGGCTGATGTCCCAGGCTCGCAAGGGCTGTTCACTCCCACCATCCCCAGACTCACGGCGTGGCAGTGTCGTGACTACCCATCCTTGGCGTTCCTTACCAGACTCCTATCCCAGCAGGCCCAACAAGGCACAGACTTTTCTTTGAGGCTGATGCTTCTGTTTCTCCCCTTTAGGCTGATCCTGAGTGAGAGCCAAAGGCTGATGTTTGAGAAGCTGGCGCTCTACTGCAACAGCTATGCTGAGCTAATCCCCGTGTCCTTTGTGCTGGGTAAGGAGCTCTGTCTGGGAACACACAGGGAGGGGAAAGGGACAGCCTTTCTTTTCCCTGGTTTGATATAGCTCTGCAGGAAGGCAAAATTTGTGAGCAGATTCCTCCCTCTGCCTTTGTAAAACTCCTCAAGCAGAATACATCACTTCACATCGCAGCTGTGAGGTATGCCGCCAGCACATAGCTTGCACTGGCCAGATGTACTGGCATGTTCTGGGTTCTGCCAGGAGGGCAGACACCAAGTAGCACCAAATAAACTGTGAAACCCAGACTCTAACTTTAGCATGGAGATCGGAATTACCTTCCAGGCATGCCTGCACCCATCCCCGTATGAGCAGTACCAGACTTCCTAGATGTGAGCATTTACATCTCCCACTGCTTTAGGACAGCTAATTTGCTCAGCTCACCTCTAGGTTTCTACGTGACTCTGGTGGTGTCCCGCTGGTGGGCTCAGTACGAGAGCATCCCATGGCCTGACCGGATCATGAACCTGGTCTCCTGCAACGTGGATGGGGAGGACGAGTATGGACGGCTCCTGCGTCGCACCCTCATGCGCTACAGCAACCTGTGCAGCGTGCTGATCTTGCGCTCAGTCAGCACTGCTGTCTACAAGCGCTTCCCCAGCATGGAGCATGTCGTGAGGGCAGGTCAGTACTGGTGCTGCCTTCTGCGCAGCTCTGGCACCAAGCAGACAGCAGCACCTTACTGCTGTTTTGGGGGAAAAGAGCCTTGGAAAGGGCCACATGACCTCCAGACTGGAGACAGGATAGTGCCGCAGTGTGCTCAGTTGATGTCTGCAGCGGGTGCTAAGCATCTGCTCATGCCCTAGCTCTGCTCTTCTGAAATAATCAACTCCTTATGTTTCCCTATTGCATAGCATGCTTGTTCCTACTGGTGGCTGGAAGGCTTGTTTGAAAAATGAAGGGTCTCTGCCCAAATTTTTTACGTCAGGAGAGTGTCGAGATCCGGTTTGTGAGTGCAGATATGCTGCAGGTCACAGGGCAGCCCTGGCTGATCAGGTCAGGGTAACTGTGGTGCAGCGGCTTCACTGAGAGCTGCTCACCCTGCACTGAAAGCGTGCACGGGGAGAGAAGAGCTCTCTGTAGTAAAAGACCCTGTGCACAGATCTATAGCAGAGCATGAGCAGACCCCTGCCAAGTGGTATGTCTGTCCTCCCTCAGGGCAACAGTTTTCCACTGAGCAGGTGGGAATTGGAGCCTCAGACCTCCGACCTTAACTGCTGGGCTCCCTGAATCCTCTCTGAAGATGCTCCTCAAGGTACAACATTTCCCAGCCTGCCCAAAGGGAGATGTCTGCACCTGCCCTAGTCAACTGGGTTCCCTTTGCAATCCCGAGAGAGACACAGGCACTTCTAGGACACAAGTTATCCCATTCTCAACAAATGTCTACATACATCAGGCAATTGCACCCTCAGCAGTGCTTTATCTCCCTGCTGACTGTAATCTGGTCAGATACGCTGCAGACATCCAAAGTGAAATGAGATATAAAGCCTGCCTCTCACACTTCTGTAACTCGGTGTTTTAACAAGGAGACTTGTCCTCCTTCTATGTGTCTCCCAAAGGCTGAGTGCCTGAGTCTTTCCTGTGATTTTTAAGGAGAGCTAAGGTGACCACCTGAGATTTAGATGTTTCCATTTCAGACCAGATCAATACCTTTCTGCCCTCTATGGCCATCCTCTTCAATCTACTCTTTTCCACCCAGGTCTCATGACACCAGAAGAGCACAAGAAGTTTGAGAGCTTGAATTCCCCCCACAACAAATTTTGGATCCCATGTGTGTGGTTCTCCAATCTGGCTGTAAAGGCAAGGAATGAGGGGAGGATCCGGGACAGCGTACTGCTCCAAGGCATCCTGAATGTGAGTGACAGAGGCAATAGGCAACTGTTTCAGATCCTCATCCAGTCCTCTAGGTGGAACTACAGGGATTTCCAGAGTCAGGCAAGGAATAGGAATGGTGAGGTAGGACAGTAAGCCGAGCCTGTCCTTGGGGATATTACATTAACTTTGACGGGAAATGCCCCCACTGCCACTCTCCAGCTTGTGACAGAACAGAGCGTTTCATGGCCTGCTGACATGGTAGCAATGTCACATAGAGGCGAGAGGAGTGTGACATCTTCCTCAGACATGGGACTGGGAAGAACCATGGGACTCACATCTAGGTGTGGTAATGGGAGACACCCATGTAGCAGGTCCTTGATCAGCCGTTCTCCAGCCTTCACATGCTCCAGAGCAGCCAACGACAGTGGCCAGGGGAGGTCTCTAGGATACAGATGGAAAGCCCCAAGGAAGCATGGAAGCATGTATCTGGAAGAGATCAGGAGAGGTCAAAAGCATCCCCAACAACCAAGGTCCCTGTAGAAAACTTCACTATTGAAAACTCTCAGATAGTCCTGGGAAGCAGGTCATGCTCCACCGGCAAGACCTGGCAATGATCCCTGCCCAGCTGCAGAGAAAAAAGGTCCAGAGCAGCTCAACCTTCCTGGTATTCATGTGCAGAGAAAGACACATCATTTCTGTTGCCTGGAATGAGATTCATCTGCCCGGAGAGAGAGATCTCCCTCTGGGCTATTTACCTAGACTGACTATATAGTCAGGAGAGAGAAATGGATGCCCCTGGGACATTCTTTGCCTAACCTGTTGGCTGCTCATTTTGTGAGCAGATAACCTCTGCTATGAAGTGAGCTAGGAAGGGATCTTGGGCTCAGATGGAGACACTCAAGCAGCACAGAGTTCCTCCAGGGCAAGCGTGTGACCCTGCTGGTGTTCTGCTGGGGTGAGGCTGGGCACCGAGGGAGCAGGGGTCCTGGCTGAGCCCCCCCCCTTCCAGAGGAGGCTTGAGCAGGAGGGAATGGGCTGGAGCAATGAAGGGCAATGAAGCTGGAGAGGCTGAGTGTCCCGAGAAAAGAGATGCAAAGTTACGCTGACAGGCAATTCCTTTTCCCCGCTGCAGGAGCTGAACACCTTGCGCAGCCAGTGCGGCCGACTCTATGGGTACGACTGGATCAGCATCCCCTTGGTCTACACTCAGGTGAGAAGGGATTCCCCACACCTATTGCTCCGCTGCCTGTACACACTGCCTCATGCTACAGGGGGCACCCCCATTTACACCCATACCTGACCCACACACGGACCCCTCACCCCCACCTACACACATCAGCGCTCTCGCATACGTCGCTCGCCGTCCAGAGGTAACTAACCACGACGTGTGCCACACGGGTACACGGAAAAAGACAGATATACGCAGACCCACTCCCTGCACTGCCTCGCAGGGAGCACGTCCCTGAGGCAGTTTTTTCTACTCAGCAGAGCTGAGATCTGCCTGCCAGCAAAGCTCCTCCAGCAGGCACGGCAGCTCCGATGGAGTTGTGCCACGTGTGTGAAAGAGAGCTGTGTGCGTGTACTCAGCTGTTTAATAGCTCTCTCGATGCAAACCCAGACAGACACTTCGGCACCAACTCGCTCCTTCGTCTCATACAATCCAGCTGCTCAGATAACACTAATGCACTCCACCGTGAAACGGGAACTGCTTCCGTTCACGCAGCGTTGAAGGTTAATGGGGAACACGTTGGAAAATTATATTCCTGTGCAGATCAGTGTCCTGCACACTAGGAGCAAAAGCAGTATCATGGCATGTCTTTGCCCCCCCTGCAGTACACAACCCTTTTCTTTTATAGGTGCCCATCCACAATTCAAAGTCTGTCGCCTGTCATGAAACAGTTCACTGCAAGGAACTGCATGGCTTGCCTGAGAGTCTTGTGATGCTGGGTGTTTGTTTTGAACCCCCTTGCTGGTTGCATCAAAAGACCACGCAAAAGTCTCAGCTGCTTTTAACTTGAAAAGGGGAAGTTTCCAGTCCCGTGATTACAGAGAAAAGCACAAAGTCCATTGTAGCCTGAAATCTGTGCAAGCAAGCAGGTAAATAGAAAAAAGGCCCAGCGTGAGGGACCAGGAAGGAAGGAGCTAGTTCAGAGCTGGCAGCACTGCCAGGGTTCCCCTGCCTGACTTGGAAGCAGCCTGCCAGCATGGACTGAGCCATGAGGGGCTCGAAACAGCTTTCAGAAGAGGCAAGGATAAGAATAAAAAGAGTTCACAGCACCCCTTACTTCAGCAGCAGAACAACCATGCAGCCGTGTGTCAGTTGTTTAAGCTCTTTCCAGCCAGGATGTCACGTGCTTTCTTCTCCCACTGTCTTTCTGTGACACCTACGCAGATGCCATTCCAGGGACAGCAGGGAATGAAATACGGTGTATGTACCAGCTAAAGGGCAAAGGGCATATTTAAAGTTTTGTGCAGTGGAAATGCATCTTCCTGCAAAAAGCAGAGGCGAAGCCTGTCATAACTGAATCCAAGGCTTTCAAAAGGCTACAGAGCCAGCAGCTCTGCAGCAGCTTGCCACTGTTTGGAGATGTGTGGGGTGGAACTGAAGAGGGATGCTGGGAAAGCAAGCTGGGAACTCAAAACTCCTCTGGTGTGTTCCCTGGATTCTTTCCCAGGTGGTGACTGTGGCCGTTTACAGCTTCTTCCTGGCCTGTCTGATCGGACGGCAGTTCCTGGATCCAGAAAAAGCATATCCTGGCCATGAACTAGATCTCTTCGTGCCTGTCTTTACCTTTTTGCAGTTCTTCTTCTATGCTGGCTGGTTAAAGGTAAGTCCAAGAAAATACATCTGGAGCCAGAATGTGACCCAGCCAAGGGTTTTTCCCAGAGTGTGCTCACCAGGGACCCAGCTGTGTTCTTTGGTCTATGGGCAACATGTCAGGTGCTGGCAGACAAACGGGAAGCCGACATTTGGCTACCCTACCCTGGGCTGAGGGTCTTGCCAAGACCTTCTCAGTTTCCGAGTGTCTCACCCTGGAGATGAGATCCACCTTTCCTAAGCTTTGGTCCTGACTCGTTTGGGGAAAAGGAGAGGCAGTAGGCTACACTCTACCTGTGGTGGTGGTGGTGGTCTGCGGTTGCAGGAGGGCTATGTGAGCAAGAGGCAGTTACCGGTGTGTACCAATGCCTCTCAGGCACTGACAAGCCTCTATTTTTAACCCACCCCTTTTTGGGAGGAATAGCATTTCTCCGAATTCAAGGGACAACACACTTGACTCTGTCCTACAAGCCTTCTCCTTGAAGGGAAAGGGGCAGGCATGACCATGATGACCTTTGCTATGTGCTCTCCACATGCAGGTGGCCGAGCAACTCATCAACCCTTTTGGGGAGGACGATGACGACTTTGAAACCAACTGGCTCATTGACAGGAACCTGCAGGTAAAGTGAAGGCAGGATGCTCCAGTTGAGCCTGACCTGCAGAGGAACGCTGAGGCAAGACTGCACCTGAGGGTTTAGCAAGCCCTATCAGTGCAGTCAGGACGTTCTCCTCCAACACCTCTGCCGCCCACCGCCCATGCCTGCAATGGGGGGAGAAGTAGTCCCTGTTACCCTTGCGCTTTCCTGAGGTGTTGGTGGCTGCACGTTAAGAAGGTGCCCAGGATCTCCAGAGAGAGACAGCTAGGAGAGCAGAAGGAGAGCCTAAGTCTTCCCAACAAATACAAGGGCGAAGGGGGCCAGCTCTGTGTTCCTCCTCAGCAGCCAAGGAGACACCCCAGGAAGAATGTGGGGCAAGACCTGTGCCAGGAAGACCCTCCCCACACAAGGGAAGACAGGGCTTTAGTGTATCGTTGTACACAGAGACGGATTGCAGCTTTAGTCCATGCTCTGGCACACGCTGGATCCAAACTGTTTCACGCCCTTGCTACCTTTGAACACCACATCATTCCTGCCCTCCCTAGCTTTTCCACTTCGTGTCTGCATCTAAAACTGACGCCTCTGCTTTCTTCCATGCAATAACTCTCCACCTTCAGCCCTTCCTAACACTGAGCCCCTCAGTCCTAGTGAGCATATTGCTTTCCTACCTCCTTCGAAATCCCTTTCCTTCTACTTAATCAAATCTCTCCGTGGGAGAAACAACCCAAGTGACAGGAAACCACACAGCAAACCCAGCCACTTGCCTCATTTCCGTGCTACATTGCTTCCTCCTGCCCTGCGTTCCTTTGTGCACCGATAATCGGCGCACGTAATGCTGCTCGCCCCGTATGACATTTCTGCTGTCCCCTGCAGGTCTCCCTTATGGCAGTGGATGAGATGCACCAGGATCTACCCATTCTGGAGAAGGACCTATACTGGAATGAGCCCGATCCCCAGCCACCCTACACCGCAGCCACCGCTGAGTACAAGCGCCCATCGTTCCTTGGCTCAACTTTTGACATCAGGTGAGTGCAGCCACAGGGTGTCAGAACAGTCCACGTTTACACCTTGCATCAGGTCTTGCACAGGGTATTACGCTTGAGGAGTAAGAGTGAGCAGTAATATCTTTCTCCATAGTCTGTGAAATCTTGCTCTAGGATACTTTTAGGCTCATGGAAAGACAATAGTGAACATCCTCCACAGAAAAGGGTGCCTCTGACCTCTTTCCCCTCTCCTCTCCACTATAAGCATCCCTGTTGTGGGAGGCCTAACACCTACCTAATGGCAATACAGAAGAGAGGCTTGCCTCTGCCAGCAGCATTCCCTGTGCTGCCAGCCTCTCCACCATAAACCACCTCCTTTTGTGGCTGCGTAACAGCCCCTTTTGCCTTTCTCCCCAGCATGCAGAAAGAAGAGATGGAGTTCCAGCCCCTGGAGCAAATTAAAGAGAACGAGGAAGCCAACCACTCCACACCGTTACTGGGACACCTGGGCCGCCTCCTCGGCGTCCAGTCACCGAGCTTCTCCAGGTCCTCTTCCCGGATGAACCTGCTGCGCAGGCGAGGAGACCCCACGTCTCCCTTCTCCCATTATACGTACCAAGACATGGGCAAGCCTGGAAGCCCTTGCAGTATCAATCAGCCAAGGGGAGACTCCAGCTCACAGGAACAGTGGGACAGCGAAGACGGAAAACTAAGGGAGTTTGACGCCTTCATGTCAACCCCATTTTACGAGAGGCCTGGTTTCTACAGTGCTCCACAGACACCGATCAGCTCTATCCCTATGATTTTCCCCTCTAGACGCCAAGGCCGCAAGAAGCCTCCTGCACTGTCCAGCATCGCTGCATGCTCGACTTCTCTTAGGGATGTCATTGTCAACTCCTCACCTTCCAGAGTCAGCGATACATATAAGAGCCAGAGCTCCCTTGGCTCAGGTGCAAAGGAAACATTTATTTGGCCAACAGATCGGAGCAAAGGTCCTGACTCACTGGTTGTAACAGCAGAAGAGAAGAGCAACTCTAACAGTAAAAGCAGAGAAGCTGCCACCACAGGAAGTCCAGGAGCTCAGTCCGCAGCATCCAACAGCCCTAAATTCCCCTTCTTGGCAGAGTCCCCAGAGCACGAGAAGCAGGGTAGCTTCAAGAGTCTGAAGAGCTTGAAAGCTTCCCACCCACCCTGGCTAAACCTGGAGAACACAGCATCAGCCACTCCCAATTCTGAGCATTCAAGTGCCTTTCACACTCCCAGTAACAAAACCCCCGGAGGCAGTGCCTCCCTCTGCTTCTCATTCACTCCCGTAACATCGCCAGTGCTGGAGAGATCCCACATGGGGAACATCGGCCCTGATGCTCGCAGCCTAAGTTTAGAAGACGCAGCCAGCGCTCCAGACCAGCATCCAGCAGAGGTTTCCAGGAACACAAGAGATACTGGAAACGGGAGCAGTAATACTCCCTCTACAAAAGAGCCAAGAAGAGCAGAGAGTCCATCCCCCAATGACTCTGGCATCTCTCTAGCCGAAGGTGACTACGTGGGGCTGATGGAGGTGATCATGGAGACCAGTGAAAGCACATGTGAAGAGCAGATAGATCAGTACAGCTAGAGGAGACCGAGAGGCACACACGGTTCTGCTGAGACATCTGCCATATCAGTGATATCGCAGTGACTTTACGCCTGGCCACACTGGCACCACCCAAAGAGAAGGGCAGTGCAGCCAAACCACCTACTGCTGGAACACGTGGCTAGAGCCCAGCCTAGGCTAGGCTAAAGCCAGCACTAATGACACCCTGCTACTGGCCTCAGGTACAGCAGCAGGCACAACTTCAGTGTTGCAATAAAAATTAAAAAAAAAAAAAAATCCCTCTACATTTGTAGCAAAAGAACAAGCAAGACTTTGAGCATTAAGCATTGCAGATACCTAACAGCAGAGCAACAGCTCACCAGGTACCAGCCTGAGGAACCTGGACTGCAGGTGTGGCCCAAAACAGAAGAGGAATATGGTTAATATGGATACCTCCCCCCTCTTCACCACAGCAAGAATTGGAACTTGAGCTTTATGTTAGCATTTGTCACAAGACCCGTTACAAGTCTCAGGCAGGACTTGCACTACTGACAAGATGCTCCAGGGAAAGTAAGGGACTGAAGCAAATGACATCATTTGTGACGCAGACCCACAGTGCCTCTTGCAGTCATGCCTAGCTGGTGTCTTCCAGTTCTGGAAAAGTAACGGGGTAGGGCAGGGCACAGGTCTACTAGAGCAGGTGGCTGCAGTCAATGGCATTTGCCCAGCACATTGCTTCCTTTTGAAGTTCCACATCACATCTGCCACCGATTTGACAGTGCTCAGAGAATAAGTCATCTGGATGGTAGCAGACACCATACAGCTATTTTTTTTTACTGTCTTTCCCAAGAAAATAAAAGCAAGGCTGAAGTCCAGGATCACTTGTCTTGTTTCCTCATTTTAGTTTCCATGCAACAATAGGAACTTAAGAGAAACCAGAGTTTTCCTACTTCCTCTGTCTTCAGAAGCAGCTGCAAATCTCCCATATCACACGGTGCACATGACAAATTCACTCAACCTCCCACACCCCTTCCAATGCCTTCACAACAGCTGCCCCCCCCCTCTCTGCCTTCCAAGCACAGCCGCTAGACCGCTCCAACTCCTGATACAGCGTCCTTGAGGCAGTTCCTGCAACACTGCTGTTTCAGTCCAGCCCGATTACAGTAGACAGCTCTAAAGTCTTGATTCACGGTCCATTTTCTCCATATACAAGTGTAGTTCCATTTCTTAGACAGGCATGACACCTAGCAAGGAGCTAACCCCCTCCGCCCCTTCAGTTGCCTCATCTAAATTCACAGCGACCAATTTCGGAAGCCCAGACACTCAAGCCTTCCTTTCCTTGTGCATTCATTACAGCAACAGCTTCGGTGGCAAAGACATTTAAAATACAGCTTTAGTCACTGAGCAATTCTTGCAATGGATCCCACTGGATTAGAAAAAAAAAAGTCATTTTTATAAAAAGCGCTAAGCAAGTAAAACCTAATCCCTCTGATATATTCCTTCAACCATGCCCAACTTAAGATGGCTGTCACAACAGAGACTATGGAGCACAATCCTGCAAGCACAGGCCTCTCGCTCCCGAGAGAAACAGAAAAAGCCAACTTGAACCAAGTCACTTTATTGGATGGAGGGCAATACACAAAACACAAGAGAAGAGAGGGGTGATATTTGGTACAGAGTATAAGAACTGTTTATCTAGATAGCTGAAGATGCATGCACAGATGGACAGTAAAGTAGGAGTCCCACTGAAACCCACAGGGTAGCTCTTGGCAAGACTTCAGCTCTCATTGTCACTGTCCCCGAGGGTGTGCTTGTCAAAGAGGTACTCTGCCATGCCATATTTTGGTGCCCCCATCTTCCGCAGGTTGGTCACATGGTCACCCAGCTCTTTGATGGATTTCACCTGTTCATCCAGGTAATGAGTCTCAATGAAGTCACACAACTGAAAGGGAGACAAAAATGCTTAAATTTAGGCCTGGACACGGCTTATCCCGCTGAAGCAGCATCTGAAATCCTACCAATTCTCTCTAGGGAAAGGAAAGAGATACAGAATGACAATTTTAAAGCTGCAGGAGATAACCAAAAGGAAGAAGCCTTTAGTTTCACCTCAGCAATGCCAGAACAAGACCAAAGCGAGGCAGGCTTATCTAGGCACACTTGCTCCAGAACCCTGCAGCACAGTGCCAGCTCAGGAAGTCTCCCCCCTCTTCCTCACCACAGGAAGTAACAAGAAAGTTTCTGAACAGATTTAGAAGCCCCCACTCCACAGCGCTTGAATTCATGACCATGAGGATTTACATCTGTAGAACAGTCCAGCTATGTTGTTTCTTTTTTCACAAGTCCCTCAAATTTATGCAGGAGACTCTCAAGAGTACTTTGATTCAGACACATGCTAATCTCTGATACTAAGAAGCCTCAATCCAGCCTTGCCAATAGCTTCCATCTGTGAAGAAACCTGTGTTTTCAGACACTGTGTTCTGAAGTGTCAGGGCTTTTAACATTTGGAAGAAGTGACTCCAAAATTTTATGACAACAAAGCCTTAAGGCATCCATTGCTTTAAAGTTAGAACTCATCCCCCACAGAAACAAGCCTTCTCCGTAGAGCTTAATACATTTCTTCTCTTCAAAATGCTGTTTGCATGAATGCCCCCTGTTCCCAAAGCAACAGAAGGGTTTGAACAAAGTGATGCACCCGCTGTTCTGTAAGGGAGGCCACAGCCACCCTAACACACTACAACTGGTCCTCCTGGAGAAAGATGGCAATAACCCTACCAAACAGCTGACGTACAGGCTGACACCCGGGCCCTTCCCTTTGGAAAGGCTGCACCACTAGTTCACATCCTTTTTTCACCTTTAGGAATGGCACGGACACATAACTCGCCCCCAAACCCACACAATTAGACACATACAAGCTCCCTCCTTGCACAGCCACATTCTCAGCTTCAGCATCTACTCACGTGTGGGTCATTCTTTTCAGTTGCCAATTTGTGCAGTTCTAACAGTGACTGGTTCACATTCTTCTCCAGGTGCAGGGCACACTCCATTGCAGTCAGTCCATTCTCCCAGTCATCACGATCTGGCTTCTAGGAGGGGAAAAAGCACATGACCATATTTTCTCTAAGTACCCACAGACCATTAAGGAGCAGGGTCTTTTAGACCAGTCTCGAAGCCTGTTTAGACCAAGTCCAGGCATTTAGGCATCTTCAAAAACTTGGCACACACACAGAGTGCACACTCAGAACAGAACTGAATGCATGCTCCAAGGCCCAGATCTGTTGCAACTCCCAGGTTCTCCTCATGTTCTCTGAGGTCTCGTAGGCAAGACAGCTAACAGAGCTACTGTCTTCCTCCTCCCGTTATAACCTGATGCCTTAAACATCTGCCTACGTAAGTAGGCAGTGGGCACAATCTCAGAAATGAAATAGGTAAGACAGCAGTACAGGCAAGTCTAGCCTTCAGTTCAGAACTGCCTAGTACAGAGTCTGATGTTTGCAAGACTTACTAGTAAGCAAGGGAATTCTCCCCAAGTGCCTATCACTTACGTTGTTTGCCGTCTTCCCCATGAAGAGTTGTCTTGCGTTAAACTGGCCCTATGACATTGCTTACTTTCTGCTGTTCTAAATAGTCTAATTAAAGTGATTTCAAGAAAACAGTGCCATGAAATCTTGCAGTGAGCCATAACAAGCAACTGGAAACTTGAGATTTCATATTCCCACGGCAAGCGAGTCAAGAGGTCTCTACAAAACAGTGTAGAGAACACTCTCGCCATTAAATTTAAGGCAGATGAACCAGTTGCGTTCTTGTTACCCTCACCCCACAGCAAGCCACCTAGGGCTAGGCATCCTCTTCTTACACAGGAAGTACTTTTTATGAGTCAATCAGCACAAATTATCAAATTACTACGCATCTCTAGATTTTGGGGGGAGTGCCACACACAGATTGTTAGCCACGCGGTATACTTATCTACTGTCAGGTCCTGCTCCTTCTGAGAGAGGATCCACAGGGAAATTCATCCCCTTCCAGCCTGAAGACAGACCGCAAGTCTAGTTCTGCATTAGACAGGACAACCCATAGCTCCACTCCTCACCTTGATGTCCTGCAAGAAGATACGTCCGCCCCTCTGATTCTGTAGCTTCATCAGTTTCTCAGCATGCTCACGTTCCTCGTGGGACTGATGCAGGAAGTACTTGGCAAAGTTTTTGAGTGCCACATCATCCCGGTCAAAATAGTAGGACTGAAAAATAAGAATTCATATGCTCAAAACCCCAAGCCTCACTCCAGCAGCCACACAAAGCCAAGTCCGTACTGTGACTTCAGATACGTCACCTATCAGCCCTACTTCAAGATGGATGGAGTCCAAGCTAAGGCTCAGCAGTAGCACTGACAACAGGAAGGCAGCGTGGCAAAACTCTTCCCTGAAGAGCAAGTTAAAATTTAATCCTAATCAGGAAAATCTAACCTGTATCCCTACTATTAACACCACAGACACAAATAAATGGTACTTGTGGTTCAGTTCTGAAGATAGAAAAAAAAAATCTCACACCCCACAGATATCTGTTCTTCTGAGCAGCATTCAAATGCCTTAAACACAGCAAACTTGAAAAACCTTTTTCAAGGAGAAGTTTTCCTTGCTCCCTTTGTTTGTCTGAGTTCGTTTACAATGATCATAAGTCAAGGTTCTGACTTGCAATACCAGTTAAGGGTGGCCAAGACCTTTAAGGTACTTCTGCAATAAAGCTCCCACGCTTCCCTAGGCTTATCAGGGATTAGACCAAGACGTACACTTTCTCCTTTGGGGAAAAAAAAAAAAAAAAAAAAAGTATCACATTTTAAGGACAAGCAATAAATCGAACGAAAATATATATTCAACAGCAAATACAATATCGTCTTTTTTGAAAGCCAAAAAACTGTAAAAGGAATTAGAAGCCATCACACAGCTTGTTTGTTCTTTGGTCAGAACCATTAGGCAGGATTCAATGGAAAGCTTTGTATCAACTGCCCGTTATTTACCAGACAAACTACTACAGAACCCTCTGCTCTTAAACCAGCAGCTTGGAGGTTCAAGGCAAGACACTGGTGCTTGTGTACCGCTATCATCCACCCACATAATTACATTCTGCTCGCAGCTGGGGTTCAGACCTTCACAGTAAACAGAAGCAAGCTGTAAAGTTCTACACCTAAGTGCCACGACATACTACAGCGTCACTAGAAAGTCTCAAGTTACCTGCACCAAGATTGCTGCACAGAGGCCAGAGCTGCTGTTTGGACCGAAGTTACTCATCTCAGCTATGGCTAAAATGAGAATCTCATGCCAAGTCAAACATTTAAGCACAGCGCTAAGGGAACCACGGATTCCTATCGATTCACTTCAAAAAGTATGAACGAAAGACCTTGCCTCAGAGACAAGCACGCCTGTGGGAAAGGTGCCAATCGCCTCCTGCTAGCCAGCCCAGCCCCAAGGGCAGAGCCGCTTGGAAGCTCCTGAGCCGTGCTGATAACGAGTCCGCCAAGGGCAACAGAGAGCGAGCGGTTAACGTGTAACTGAAGTTCGCCACCGAGATAAAGGCCTTACCTACCGAAAACAAGCGGCCGCCCCACCCCCGGGGGAAGGCCGAGAAGGCCCCAAAGGCGGGGGATGGGGCG